ATATACAAGTAAGATATTGAAAAGACACAGAGAAAGATTTTTTATTTATTTTTCTGCTCTTTGTAAAGGGAAAACTGACTTTTTTAAAATGCAAGAAACAAAGGAATATAATCAACGTAATAGGTTGAATCATTATTTTCACTTAAAATATCACTATCTAGTGAAGAGCAAAGTCATCAGTTTGATTCTTCCACATCCATATACTACTAAGATTAACTCAAAGAATCTTCTGGAAGGTCCATACAAGAAAACCCTAGAGAAAGAATTTCTAACTTGCACTGTAGATCATATGTTTTCTGTGTGAAATATGAAGTCATACTAATTCATGTGTGCTAATTAAAAAGAGTTGATGTTATTTACTTGCAACATGTAGTTCTGGAAATCAGCTTAAAGCAATGAGTTGAGTTTAACATTACGTAGTTCTCTGAAACCCATGAGGGCAGAGTCTAAGCAACATATATTATAATTGGTAAACATATAATATTAAAGGACAGAGAGGGCTAGAGTTAACGCAACTCAAGAATCTCACCAGGCAAGGATTCAAATTTGGAAAAGAAGTGACAAGGAATCTCTGATCATGTGATTAAAACCCAACGTCCAATGAGAAATGGGATTCCAGACTCCCTGCAGGTCTCTTACCAACTTCCAGCACAAATTTTCCCACCTACTCTATCAAAATACAAAATATTTAAGTGAGATTTTTATACTCCATATTAATGTCAAATCTGGCTTTTGGCTTGGACAAGAGAATTTTTACAGCACCTGCTAATTTGTTCTCAGCCTAAAGGGCTAAGTCCTCAGTGTGCCTGAGTTTGGAGGGTATAGAAATCTACCGAGGGTTCAGAAAAAAAACCTTTGTAGAAACAAAATGCATAGAAAATCCTTCTGTAACCCTGGGCAATCCTGATACCATATGAGGTACAATTGAGAAAGGGACTTCCTTTGGAATGTGAGAAGAAAGATGTAGAAACAAAGTTAAATGAAGATGGGAAGAGCATTACTAACAGAAGGGAGATCAAACACTCCATAGAAAATACATGTTATGGTGCAATTGCCCTCTAGGACTTACAAGATTATGAAAGTCTAACTTAATTAAGGGAGAAAATAGGTCACATTTAACCACCACATACGTGACATATCATTTTGACTATACAGAATAACTGGAGAGAAAGGAAATTTTAAGAAGTCAGAAGCATAAGGCAACCTTGGAATTCATCAACTGCTTTCACCTCCTTCTAAGTCAGGTATACGTTTTGCTTTTGTATATATGAAAAAATTTACCATTCTTTAAACTTCCCTCTTTAAAAACACTTGCAGTATATTTCAAAAATAAATTTCAAATGTCAAGATAAAGAGAAACAAAATGGTGTGACCAAATTAAAAAAATGAATTAAGAGTTAATAAATATTCTTCTCTTCATAAAAATACACCTTTCACCCTCTTCCTTTTCTCCCCCTTATGTCACCAAATGACAGGTAATCACGTATGTGTGAACCCTGCATGGAATCTTCCCCCTTTCATGGCTCGATGTCCCTGTGGGGTCGAGCTAATTACAGGTACATTTCCTCTGCAAGGCAGTCACACTCTATACTGTTGAAGGCACAATTAATAATTGAACAAAGCTACTGGATTTTTTTGCTCACATGGCCACAGGTTGCAGGCAGTTTTACTGTCACACAGGGAACAGAGCCTCTTCTTTAGTGTCTCCAAGAAAGGTTTCATGTTATAGACTGAAAAGGATCACTGCCTGCTTCCAAGTTTTGAAAAGTAGGGAAAAACACATGTAAAACCAAAAAAAGCCAAACCTTCCACAAAAAAACCTAGTTTCCTTTATAGAACAGTAAAGGCAAATCCCCCCCCCCCCAGTCCCTCCCGTTAGCAGGAATAGGATTATGATCAAGTGGTTATTTAGGTCAGATGTAAAGAGATGAAAGAGCGGGCCTGTAAATTAATACCCTTTGGAAGGGAAATTGGAGTTTGCCCTTGAGTCTGTGAATGCAGCAGGGAGCTAGTTTTGCATGTGACAGAAGAAAATTTGACCTACAGAGAGGGCCTAGATAAAGGATTATTTAAGAATAAGTTTCTTTCCCTTGAGATGTATTTAGGAACTTAATAGAGAATATCCCCAGAGCCCCATGGGGTCATAAATTAGTGCAGAAAATCTTTGTCTTGTGCCCAAGCAATAGTCTTGAGCAACGGTCTGCAAACTTTTCTAAAGGGCCAGATAGAAAATAGTTTAGACTTTGTGAGCCAAGCCATCTTTGTTACAACTGCTCAACTCTACTGTTTTTGAACAGAAGCAACCATAGACAATAAGAGAATGAATAAGCGTGGGTGTATTTCAGTAAAACTTTATGGACACTCAAATATGAATGTCAATTTTTTTGCACGTCAAAAACAGAATTCCTCTTTGTATATTTTTCAAACATTTAATCATCTAAAACCTAGTTTTAGCTGTGGACAGTACAGAAGTGAGCAGGCTGTATTTGTCTCACAGACTGTAGTTTGCTGATCCCCTCACCTTACTACTGGAAATCTCTATGAGTACACTGATTTTTCATGCTGATTATGAAGTCTCTAGGGATCTCTGAGTGTATGTAAATGCTTCCCTTACATGGGAAAATATGGTCTTTTGTTGACTTTAAAACACTATGGATAACCAGGTTATTCAGGATTCAAATCAGATATTCATCATCATTGAAAAGTTTACTAGAGTTAGCTATGAAGATCTAAACTGGCAGGCCTAGCCTGGAAAAAGTCTTGAAGCTCTGATTCTATTTCATTAATTTTCTGAACTCAAAGGATAAAAAAAATACATCTTTCGGTTCAGTCATAATTAGTGTTTTCCCCCAAAATAAAATAGAAATAAAAGATAAAAAACCCCAACTGCTTAATAGCCAGTAGTACACAAAAAGAAATTCTTTTCATTATTGTAATTCATTTCTTGATTATAAGTTGGATATAATCTTTCTTCCTTCCTTCCCTTCTTTTTTCCTACCACTTGTTCCACAAAAAACTAGGAGGCTATAAATAATATATTTGTATAGATGTTTAAATTAACTACAGGTGAGACAATAAAACAAGAGAAAATCAAGAGAATGGTCTGTGCATGAATTTGATGGCATAAAATCCCACACAGTTTGTTTAAAATCCACTTGATTAACATGCACTTTATATATGATTTCCTGTATTCTTTTACAAATGGGCAAAATAAATTTGATTCTAAATTGAGTAACAGTCAATTCCATGACTCATGATCATTTATAAAAATTTACAGACTTAATTCATAAAAAGTCCCAGCAATCCATTGCTTAGAAAAAGGGCAATAAAAATATGTAAGAAGATTTTCCTCAAAGGTATTTTTCAAAAAGAAACTATGTAATAAAATTAATAATCTCTCAAAACAACATTATAGTAAATGCAGCGATTTTAAGGGATATCTCTTAATAACATCTTTAAATATGGGCCAATAGCTTTTATACCAAATTGTCATTCAGTCAAAGCAATTCTATACTTGAAAGAAGTAGGTGGTGTGGGATTGGGGGATCATATAATTCAATCCAGGCTGAATGTGCTCTGGATGTTTAATTTAACCCAAGGGAAAGGTGTGCAATATCCAGAGGTTCACACTTTAGACAATCTTCCATATGCATTTTTCCCACATAAAGTATAAGATGGGTCTGAAAGGAATGAGTTTGAGATTGATCTTCCAAATAAATGTCTCATTTATTGCTCTTATATATTGCCAATAAATGACAAGTTGCATTCATTAACAATTAAGGTGAGTTTTGAGTGACGTTCTCTTAAGAAAATAGAAGCCTTTAATAAGAATAGCTGCCAAAAAAGGAGACCATTCCATAGGCTAATCCAAATTCACTTGAAAAATTAATTAGATACCTAACATGACATGGAGGCTCATATTCTCAACCACAAAATACACTTTTCAAAGATGTTTTAAGCAAACACCATCTTGGACTCTTAGAAATGCCTCAGGATAGCTTCCATGTATATCTTGCTTTGCACAACTTTTTTATGGCGTTCATTCCAAAATGACTATGTTGTGAACTCAATCTCTAAATACTTTTACAAGGAAATTTTAAGAGACTATAAGATATAAATCAATTAAACTTGAGGGCTATCTACCAACATAAATTACACTTTACAAGAATAATCGATCCATAGTCCCTCTTCCTGAGAAATCAAATAGCAGTCTTTATTCTACAAAGACTATGTCATTTGTAAAACCATGACATTACATCTAAGAAAATGTAACCTGTAGAGCAGGAAAGTATGCATGCAGTCGACCCAAGTAATTCGATACAATATTTAAGTGAAGTTCAAGAAGGAGCAGGGCCTGAGAATTCAGTTATGGTGAAGGTGACGGTATTGGAAGGGGAGGGGAGGACAAGAAGACAATTCCTGGGAAATGATTTTTCTGACTTTGACTGAATTTGCATTAATAGCTAGGGACCCAAAATGAGCTAATGCAGCTTAGTCCATGCCTGATGGACTCACAGAGCCAGATGCCAAGGACAAGACATCAGAAGTCAAGAACAATTTTGTATTATTCCTGAAAGGTTTCTTCACAAGGTGCTACACATTAGGAAACCATAGTTAGAAAGCAAAGCACAAAACAAACAAACAAACAAAACATACAAAGAACTAGGTTAATCCAATTCATACAAACATTGCCCCAAGACACTCAAGCACAAAATTGGCCTACATTTTAGACCTAATACTGAGTCATTTAATGCATTTAATTCTTCTGTATTTGTTGCCTTGAGGCGATGTTCTATTGAAAATGAAATAAGAAATGGTTGTAGACTCTATAGAGATGAATATTAGCAAAGACCAGGCAGGACCCTAAATAAGTCCTATTGCAATTCTATTAAGGTTTTAATAACCAGATACATGCCTGCCTTTCCAATCCAGTGGAATCTCAGAAGCACAAGTTTATCTTAAATAATATGTGGTATGTTGAAGACTACAGGGCTGCTTACCAGTTGGTGTAAGGTGTCTCCAGGTGATCACAGGTTCAGGACGGCCATTAGCCATGCAGACCAGGGTTACATTGCTGCCCTCATTCACAGTGACATCTGAAGAGATGTTGGAGATCTTTGGTGGAACTGCAAAGACAAAAGCGAATGGAATATGTAACTATGCCAGTAAAACCAGGTTTAAAGCATTGGTCCATGCTACTGGAAATAGCAAAGTTGGCTAGATGCTTTTATGACTTAAACTATTTGAATTTTTTTCTTAAGAAGCCAGGGTGCTTGATGATCTCCTTGGAAACTCAGCAGATGAAAAGCATGGCTCTTACTATAAGGAGAATCTCTCCACTATGACCAAGTACTGTAGAAATTGTGCAGAGGAATACAATGAAAATATATTATTTCTTCTTCTTTTTCATTAGAATAGACTTTAAGTATTAGTGTGCACACTTAAGCATATTAATAATTTTTTCTTATAACTGAATGGTACCTGCGTACATTTATTTTTTTATGTATATAAAATGAATATAGTGCAATCTTACCTCCAAATGTCTGGAAAAGAAAAACAGTGTTGTTTAGTATGAGTTGTATAGTTGTGTTATTAAGATGTGGCAACACCTGTTTACTTATAATCTACCCACATAAGGAACCCATCAGTTTATCACAATAGGAAGCCTCTAAATATCACCTTGGTATGTGACAGGCTAGATGATGAAGGTTAGAGCCTAGAAAACTGAATTAATAAGGCCTATGTCACAGATATTACAAAAATAATATTATTACTACTAATACTTTCACCACCACTATTACTAAGAAGTTAGTAATAGCTAACTTTAAGCACTTACTATATGTAAGACCCTATGTAGAAGTACTTTATAAGTATTATATCAGTAACTCATTATAATAATGATATCCTATGAGGGTTTTATTTACAGGTGAGAAACTGAGGTATAGATGGAGCTAGGTGAGAAGCAGAAAACAGATTTGAATCCAAGAAGACTCCAGGGCCCACACTCTTAAGCAATACTTGAATGAAACTTCATCTTCACAATCGAGGCTACCAGATGGCTGAAAATGACAGAAATTACTCTTTGGTGGTGTGAGAAATGAGTCCCCAAGGGCTTGCTGTACTGCCGTCTGACTTCCTTCATTAGTGTTCAGGGCGGCAACATTAGATCTCATATTGGTAGGCTTAAGTGGAAAGTGAATTACTCACAAATTTCATCACAGAGGTTATGCACTGGTTACAAATAGCAGAGTTTATGGTTTGACTGTGATTTTCCATTTTTTATTTTTATTTTACTCTTAGTTGCTTATGTGGTCCCTGAGAAAGTATGTGTCAGGGGGAGGGAGAAGAACAGGATAGCATAAAGGAGCTCAATAATAAAAGAATCTTATTTTCTTTCTCTCTTCCTGCCCTATGGTGACAAATAAAACAGGAACATTTTTCTACCTGTAGAGACTGTTGTCTGACAACCATGTGATTGCTGCAGATCTCTGTTAGGAGATATTGATGGTACTTGGGCAACTGACCAGGTCACAGTGCCACAAAGAGGAAGTGGGAGGAGGATTCATGACCTTAGCCTTTCTCCCAAACGGCACCTTACAGGACTTCTGGGTAGAAATCAGTAATTCTAAATCAAACCCAATGGCAGATGGAATGTAGTTGATTCCCATTATTCAGTAAATGTATTTATAGGGTTTCCATTTCCCTTTTATCTACTGGGTTAAATGGGTCTTTCTCTCGTATTCACTTATTGACTTGCAATATACCCTCCAAGACTTTTGCAATGAGGACCTAAAAGGTTATACCCAGTTTTTAAGGAAGAAGATAAGGCACAGAGAGAAATAATGGCTTGTCAAGGGCATTCCCATCAAGAAATATGGCTGGACTTAGGACTTAAGGTTCCTGAACATCCAATTGTTCTGTTGTTTGACTTTTACAGTTTTTAATTCCCATCTGAATAAGCCAGTGTTCTGAACATCTCCAGAAAAGTACAATGAACTATAAATCAATGATGGTGTTCAAGAATACAATTTAGACATCCTAGGTATCTTACTCTACAATCTAAAATCTGCAACAGGAAGATATGTAATAATTACATTAGCTTATATTACTCAATTTGTAGTTAATTCTGAATTGCAAGACAGGCCACAGTATAGAAAGAAGAAATACAGATGTGTTTTCATAATAAAAATGTAGAGGGGGAGACTTCATATTCCTAATATAAAAACATGCAAATTTACAAAACAGAAAATATCTCCAGTGGTCAGGCTCCTAGAGAATTATTACCTCTGATAAAATTTACTCATAATTTTCTCTCATTCTGTAAGAGGAATATATATCTAAGGACTTTGCTTTTGTATGGCACCCAGGCACCCCTGGTTGCCTATTTCTATTCTATTTCTATTAACTAAGGACAATATACTCAAGTCCTAGATCTAAGATACTGGAGACTCAGAAAGTGTGTTCAATAGTCAGAAATGTAATCATGCTAACATTTATCTCACCTTCCTCAGGGTCATTACCAATGGGATTCACTCCATTGCTTACCTTCTACTTTTTTGTACATTGCACCAGCTTCTTCCCATAGCATTTATATCTGATGTAGTCATTTGTTCTAGAAATAAATCCCTCCCTAAATTATATGTTACCATCTTACTTTCAAACCCTCTGTCTCCAGAGACCTTGAAGGAATTGCTTTACATCACATCTTCATCTCCCATTCACATTTCAACCTATGGTGCAACCTGAATTCTTTCCTTAACCTCCAAAAAAACTGCTCTCAGGAAGCTCACCAATTTGAACTATGGTGTTTTTAGGTCCTATGAGCAATTTTGTCATTATGCTATTTTTCTAAGAAGTATTTGATTTTGTAGACCATAACTCCCTTCTTCCATTCTTTTCTTTGTTTTCTTTTCTTTTTTTTCTCTTCTCTTCTCTTCTCTTCTCTTCTCTTCTCTTCTCTTCTCTTCTCTTCTCTTCTCAAGATGCCAGATTCAACTGTTTTTCATCTTAGCCCTCTGGCCACCCTTTCCAGTTTAATTTTTGGACTTACTTTGTCTTATTTCTTAAATGCCTGTATTTCTGAATGTTTGAACACTGTCCTCTTCCTTCATATCATTCACTGTGAATGGTCTTATCTATCGTCTAGCTTCAGAAGCTAAGGCCATAGTATGTATGACTCCCAAATCAGTATCTGCAGCCCATACTTTTCTCATGACTTTTACATTACTTTCCAATTGGCTACTCTAAATTTTCATCAAATATATCATAGATACTCAAGAGTCAACATATTCAGAACTGAAATCATCATCTTCCTTCCTACAGAGCACTGTAGTCTTGTTCACTATTCTCGGGGAATGTTGTCATCATGCAAACAGTTACCCAAGCAAAACTCCATTATCTCCCTTGACTGTTTTTTTCTCCTTTACTACCCCCATATAAAAAGGATCCCAAGTTCTGTGGCTTATGCCTTTTAAATCTCTTTCAGATTCACTCATTATTCCCAATCTCTATTTCCAACAGCGATAAGCATTTCTTTTTTTGCCTAAATTTTGCAAGAGCATTACAACAAATTTCTTTGCCTCTAGCCATCCTTTCCTCAGGCTCAGTGTCATTCATTCATCATACTGCAATAAGTTTTTTTCCCCCTAAATTGCAAATGTGAGTATAATATTCTCTGATTATTCTCATTGCCCTCAAGATAAATCCAAACTTCTTAATATGAATTCACAAGCTATGGTTGGCCCCTGGTTAGCTCTCTAGCCTTATATCTTACCCCCTTTTCTTTGTATCATCCAGTCAGATCAAATAATTTTGGCTCCTGGAATATACTATGCTTGTTTTCTCCAAGGCATTTAACATTCTATTTTTTCAACATGGAATGTTCTTCTTCCAGCCATTCAAGTGGTCAGCCCCTTTCTCCCTTCAGGTTTCAAGTTGTCAGCTTGTTTTCTTACTTTTTCTAGGAAGACTATCCTATCATTTACCAGCCCAATTCTTACCCCTACTCCAATCCTGACTTCCTACTGGGTGAGGCATCTCTCCGGTGTTCTAAAATAGTGTCCTCTATTTCTCCACTATGATCCTGAATCGTCATTGCTGGATTACTTACCTATACCTGTCACTAAACTGAAAGAGGCAGATGAGAAGTTCTTGGTTTTCTTGGCCAGTGAATCGTACAGACCATGACACTTAGAACATGGTAGGTACTCACAGGGTGTTGAAAAAAGAAATTAATGAAAGTCCCTGCCAGCCCTCCAACTTTTCTGAGCTCAAGGAAGTCATCTCATTGAATTTTTATCAGGAAGGAGTAAGCTTTTATTTTTGAGCCAGTAAAATATAGCTTTTATCAGTATTTCTTTAGCTACCCCTCTAATCACCTTGTTCACTATCAACTTTTTTTGACTCTTACTTAAAAAAAAAGTAACTATGGGGCAAAGAAACATTTGTGTATGTTAGGAGTATAGGAAGTAAGATAAACTTGGTGTCCAACTTCCTGAATTATAGACATATTCAGGGTTTAACTTCTTTTTTTTTCTTTTCTGTAAGAAGCCATTCATATATATTTGTATAGATATATATAAATACATATAACTTTTTTTTTAGTTTAATGGTTTAATAGTTCCTTCCTAGTTTTCCATAGGAATTCATGCAGTCTGCATTTAAACCATCACTGATAACATAAGATTAAAGCAGCAATGCAAGGTCTTTATTCTATTACCTCCTAACATCTTTATGAAGATCCTGGGGAGTAAAATGTATACTCTTATTATCACCATTTTATAAATGTGGACATAGAGGACAAAATGGGTAAAAAATCACACAGTTAAGTAATTATGGAGTTAAGATAAAAACCTAAGGTTTATAGATTTCCCAAACTTAACTCTTCCTCTAGATCATATTCACTTTTGCAATAGTGGTTCCAAATAGTATTTTTTGCTCTATTTTAATTCTCAGTAAGGACCACTGTAGGAAATACTGTTTAACAAGATAACCTTATTTGCATTGGTAAACATAAGTTGTTTATTTATCAAAACCACTGTAATATTGATTTATGCTCATGGGTCATCACATATTCTGTGTATTTTATTGTCTTCTGGAGTATTCCCTAACAATTTTTTTTTTTTTTTGAGAGTGAGTGAGCAGGGGAAAGGCAGAGGGAAAGAGAGAGAGGGCATCTTAAGTAGGATCCATGCCCAAAGTGGGACTGGATCCCACAATCATGAGATCATGAACTGAATCAAGATCAAGAATCAGATGTTCAACTGACCCACTCACGCACCACCCCCCAACAATATTTATTCATAGGATATTAGTGTGCTTTATTATATTTTCCTAAATGTAATGCCATGAACCATTTATTTAATGTTTTCAACTCATTCGGTTTCAGTGATCTCTCCAATTTGTCTGATTATTTTGTTTTTCTTACTGATTAATGACAGCTTATATACCTTAGGGAAATAATCTTTTGTTCTTATATTGTTTGCAATTTCCACAATTCATTCTTAATTTCATAATTTAATGACCATTTTTGTCTTGTAAAAGTTTTAAATTTCTTTGGTGAGCTTTTTTTATGATTTATTCCATTGCTTTTGTGCATAGAAGGTCTTTTCTTAACATAAAGTCAGTTAAATATTTGTCTATTTGCTTTTCCTTTCAATGGTTTATTTCTGTTTCTTATTGTGCTCTTTAAATAATCTAGAATTGATTTATGGTGTGAACTATAACTAGGTTTTCTTAATCCTCCATAGTTTTTTAGTCAATTTCCACAATATCACTGGTTAAATTATATAAAATACATGCATTGTTTTGGTTTTCAGAATTACCCTACTTAGTGCTACCACCTGACCAGAGCAATATTTCTAGGAAATGTATATATATATATATATATATACCTACTTACAATGCCAAGTAGTTTTATCATTGGGCATTAAAATACGTCACTAATCTTTTGGACACCACACTATTATTATGTGCTGCTAGTTCCAAACTTAATTGTTTATTAGACAAATACCTCCTAAAATGTTGAGTGAAAACACAATTTAGATATCCTGCTTTCAGGACACTAAATTCATTATCCAAAGGAATTTTTAAGGTTGCCACTGCAAAAACAAAAACAAAAACAAAACAAAACAAAACCCATAAAACCAAACCAAATCAAACATAAAAACAACCC